TATATATATAATATATACTAAGTAATTTAAGAGAATTATTTCAGTATTTTATATATATATATAAATATTATTATTTAAATTTAAGAAGAAACCTAGCGTTATCTCTACTATTAATAAGGGTAAAGTGGCGGTGAGAAACTAGTAGTTAGAATATTACTCTGATAATCCTGTTTTCTCAACCGGTTATTTAACATCCATATACAAGGTAATCTGGGCAAAAACTGCATTATTCGAATACTCCAATTCCAGAGATTCAAACAGTAGTATTTTCTTAATTTCTAGAGGTAGTTTAGATTTAATATAGATTAAAACGTTTATTTAAACTCCTTTTATTCCCCCTTCGATATCTCTTCTAATCCTCAAGCAATTTAAGCTAAAGTACCACTATTCGGCACTAAAATAGCTTCTCTTTCTGATTCTATAGGTTTAGAGCTTATCCCTTACCCCACTTCTGCCCCTGAGGCCTTCTGTGATTAGCTGTTTAGCTTTATTAGCTCTATAGTTAATTCTACTACTATAAAGCCTTCTTTTAACCCCTCCCTTACTATTCAGCCTTTTGAGGCTGAAATTAACGCTAATTAGGACCTTTTCAACCTTTCTAAGCTAATCAGCAATTTTCCTAGATTTTCTGAGGATTTATTTAATATAAATTCCTTTGAAAACTAGGTTAACTTGCCTACTAAGATTCTACCCTCTACCTCTCCCTAAACGCCTAAAAATAGGCTTATTTAGACGCTTAGAAGGTCTCCTAGGCTTGAAATTCAGATCTAATCCCTCTCTGTAAGTTATTATTATTTATTTAATTAATATATATTTAAATATACTAATATTAAAAAGCCTCAAGAAAAATCTAAATATATAGATTTTTCAGGGGAAATTCAAGCTGGATTTGAATGTAAGAAGTGCAAGAGGGGCTTTTTAACCTCTATAGCTTTAAAAATGCATTAGAGATAGGCTAAAAAGCAGAGCTTTTATAAGAAGTATTTTTAGTTATATAGTATAGGTTAGGATTACTTTTTTAGGTTGAATATACTGTTATTACCGTCTTTAGTACTTTATATACTTAATATATTAAAACTAGATTTTTCCTATATTTTCCTGGATTTTTAAAGAATTATTTAGAATTTTATAAATATAAAGTGATATATTATTATTTTTCCCATTCGGAGGTACTTAGAAATACTTAGCAGTTCTAGGAGTATAATAATAAGAAGTTATATTTACTTAAAAGCTATTATTCTATACTTTTATAGTTTTTTTAATATGTAGTTATGTAGTATGTAGTATACTACATACTATAACTACAGTAGTATGTAGTGTAGTTGTAGTATAGACTTTTTCCTTGTAGTATACTACATACTATAACTACATACTCTGTAGTATACTACATACTACAACTACATGTAGTCCTGTAGTACTGTAGTATGTAGTAGTCAATGCTCTGGATACCTCTATATAGAGGCTATATATATTTCTAGCTATCCTAAGGAGTAGCCTTTCTTTATATAAGCCCTCTATAATACTAAGGTAGAGGTAGCCTAAGCTTAGACCTAGTAGGGATTAATAAGTGCGCTTTATACTAACTAATAGAGAGAGCGTTACTAATAATAGCATAGCTACTACTAAGCGAAAGCGTTAGCTAGCTTAATCAAATAAGAAGAATAATAAATAGTAAAGCAGTAATAAGGATAGTATTTAATAGTAGTATAAGTAATATATAAGAGAGAGGATAGGTTAATAGTTTAGTAGTTAGTAATTAAGTAATTAAGTAATTATAAACTATATTATTACTAAAGTGAAGTTAAAGATAGTGAAGTTATTAATATATATATATAAGTGCAGCTAAGGTTAAGAGAGTTATAATTATATAACTAAAGGCTATATATATTATTAGGAGGCATAGAGTTAGGAGGTCTGTCGCTCTAAGTAGGTAAAAATCATAGTGAACAGCTAGAGGCCATATAAAGTACTTTAAAGCTAAATTATATATAGTAGATCTTTTTTTTACTTTTTTTATATTATTATTATTTTTTAATAAAACGATATTTTTAGAGCTTTTTATAATAATAGAAAAACTATAAATATATATTTTTTTATAATATAAATTTAGCTATTATTAAATTATTAATTTTAAGTTTAACTTTAATAATAATAACCTCTTTAGTAGCTTTTTTAGTAGCTTTTTTAATAGTAATAACTTAATAAACCTTCTTAATAAATATAATAATTCTAATTAATAGTAAAGTAAAATATTAAAAAGTATCTTTAATAGTATTTTATATTAATTATTATATATATTATTATTTCTATATACTATTAGTAATAAGTAATAAATAATACCTAAAAAAGTTATTATTTACTTATTAAGCTATATAATAATATTTAAGAAATATTATAATACTTTTAAATAATAAGATTTAATAGAAATAAATTAATTAAAACTATTAGAATAAGTTAATTACTATATTATAAATATCTATATAGTATTAAGTAAATTTTTATATATATATAGGGATTATATATATGTAATTTTAGTAAAAAGGGGGGGTAGACGCTATTAACGCAACGGAGTGTAATCTGATTAAATCTAAATCGGCGAGACGGGAGTGTCCAGCCGAGCGCTCCGGGCATTCTTACGCCCCGAACGCCCCGGGCAATAGGCAGGACAACTCCGAACTTATCACAACAATGCAATTCATTGGCAAAAAGAGTTGAAACACGGCAATCTCCGGAAAGGATAATCTGGTGGGACACGTTATTGAATTCATTAAATATGCTTCTACCAGCGACTTATGACCACACACTATCCCACTTTTATCCGCATAGGATTATTATGCATATGCTCGGACCTGCTCATGACACCAGAGCGAGTCAGCTATCAAGTAAATCTCGCCGTCTGGGAGGCTCACTATGGTTCTTTTTCCTTAATTATCAGCACCGCCTCTTAACTAAGGTTCACGTCTTAACTCGAATGATCTATCTAAGTTAGAGGAGGCTGACAAAATGCTCGGCGAAATTGGTTATTGGGAAAGGGAGATCTAGATAATTTATCCAGAGGCGGCGTGCTTAATAATCCTGCAAGATGGCTCAGGAGCTTTGGGGGCTGAAGATAATAGATTGGGGTTCTAATTTTAACGGAGTCGTCAATGACCATTGTGAAGTAAAGGTCTTTAAATACAGAAGCTGGAGGCAGTCCTGCATGTGTCTTTCATCGATAGACCCGTCCGCATAACCTAGCCACCTACCTTTGCTTTGTATCTATTTCTATTTAGTCGCAATGCGTCTCAGCTTTGTGCCCAGCCTGTGGCTCACAATTGGCTTGCTCTTAGAATCTACTTTTGGCGCAGTGAGTTAAACCCCCTCGTCCCACGTCTTATCTTTGGATATGGCACTTATGATGCGGTCGTGATCGCTTACTGACCTCGCGATTCTCTAGATTCTCGTATGCCAAAAAGCCCCGAGTCTCGAGCTTCTGTGGTTCTAACCAAATGCTTCTTACCATAGGGAAATGCGGCGTACACCATACAGGACTCTGCATTAGCTAAATCGGTCTTCACAAATGGCTATGAAAATGGGAAGAAAGCTCTCGTTCGAGTCGTTGTAGACTCTTTCGACTACAAGATTACAGCCAAATCGGCGTGGAACGCTCACGACAGCACGCCAAACCGGTTACATCTCAACGAAATAATGATGGCACTCTGGAAGGACGACGGGCTGGAGCCGGGGGAGATGGTCACTGTCGAATTCTCTTGGATTGTCAATCAGCCCACGAAAGATGCAATTGCCAGCGTTCGTAGTCAGCGCAATGCAGGCTCCTCTGACACTGTTAGAGTCACTGAGGGAGAGACAGGATGGGATACACTAATGGGCTGTCCATTCGGTGGCGTCGCCCAGAGATTGGCAAGCGAGGCTGGGAAATCAATTTTCTCCATCACGGTGACGGACGCCGGGCTAGATGACATGACTTTTGAGTTCGAATGAAAGAGAGAGATCGAGGAGACTCCTTAGTCTTGGATGACGTATTCAAATAGGTCAAGAAATGTTTTTGCCTAGTCTTGATCATACATGTAGTCAGTACCCGCCAACCCCCGTTATCTACTGGTGCACTCCAGCACTTGATTTTGAATTTGTTCCTTCCCATCCGAAATGGTACTATGAATGGACTAGTAAGCTTCGCGAGATTGTCATGAGGACCTCGGTATTATGTTACAAGGTGTTGCGTATGAGTGTGACAAGCAATGGGTAAACAATATGGTCACAACTACGGGTAAAACCTTTAGACTTCGTCTGGTTGCGGACCAGGACAAAATTGCGATGGACATCAATGATGTTTGTTAGATAGAATAGAACATATTGTTTTCCATGGAAGTCGTACCTTAAGGGTGCTGGGCCAAGCTAGAAGGATAGATCCATTGATCCGCGGAGTATTCCGAGCCCCGAAGATTAGCATCAAAGGAGCGATACCGTTCGTACCATTCCAGATGGATACAACCTTGCGGCGTGAAGGAACCGGCTGATCCCATGTCAACCAAGTCACATGAGGGCTAGAGATCGTCGCATTGCCGCAGTTCCCCCGCATTCTCTTCTTCTGGCCATTGCTACCATCCAGATTCAGAACCACACTCTTGGCACTATTGTATGAGGGCGGAAAATTTAGTCGCTTACCAAGTTCCTCGCGGTATGAAGAGGCGAGATAGTACGTTTTACTTTTTCGATAAATACACAGCGCATATGGGTCCTTGCTAGTATCACATTGTCTGATCTGTAGGCAGAAGCAAGTCATCGAACATCATCAACTTTACAGAATTTCTCTCGTTTCATTTTTATGCGCCTCAAAATGCTCTTGATACCTAGCGTCATTTTATGGCTTCTAGTTGGGATTGCCAACACTCAGTTTTTTGACGGAGAAGAACTCGATAAGCTGGTGTCGTTTTCAGGGACTCGAGAGAGAACGAGGTTGCATGCTGGATGGTGCTTTCGGCGTTCGGAGTCTATCCCAGATGGGGTTGTGTATGAACGTCGTCCGGATGCCAACGGTGATGAACTCTTCGAGCTGAAGCCATGGTGTAGGTTGGTACCGCCAAGACCTAGTCATCGGACACAACATCAACAACACAATTCGCTACCTGGACATCGATGGCGGCATGTCTTACCCAATGGTGTGGGTCAATGGCCATCTGGTTGGGGGTTGGCCATTTGGATATAACTCGTTCCGCCTGAACATTTCACCATATTTGAAAGAAGGCAGCAACACCCTGGCAATCCGCACGGAGAATCCTGCTGGGCACTCGTCGCGTTGGTATCCAGGCGCCGGTCTCTATCGCAACGTCTGGCTGACGACAGTGAAATCCGTGCACGTTGGTCACTGGGGCACCAAAGTCACCTCGCGCGATGTTTCCAAAGACTCGGCCACGATTGACTTGTCGGTCACAATCCAGACATTCAAAGATTCTATTGTGGGAGCCAATGAAACACAAACCACTGTTACCATCATCAGCGAAGTCTTTGAGCTCGACTCCGCAAATGGTCAACGACGACCAGAGCCCGTGGCACAGTTTCCCTGGCAGACCCTCGACTTGGCTGGCAATAACACTGAGACCAACTCCTCCGTGATTATCAACAGTCCTAAGCTGTGGGGACCACCTCCATCGCAAAAGCCCAGTCTCTATGAAGTCGTCACTACATTGTATGCTGGAAGAGATACACGGCAATCCTTGCTCCTGGATTCCTATGAAACCAAGTTTGGCATCCGTTCTGTGGTCTTCGAACCGAATAAGGGAATTGTCGTCAATGGCGAGCATGTCTATCTACAAGGTGTCAACCAGCATCACGATCTCGGAGCCTTAGGAGCGGCCTACAATCATCGAGCCGCAGTCAGACAACTCGAGACACTGCAGGAGTTGGGTGCCAACGCAATCCGACTATCACATAATCCCCCTGCACCCGAGCTACTGGATTTGACAGATAGGATGGGCTTTCTGGTGATCAACGAAATATTCGATAGTTGGTTTGAAGGGAAAGCTGATCTAGATTTTCACTTGATCTTCGAAGATTGGCGAGAGCCTGATCTGCGCGCTTTGATCCGGCGAGATCGAAATCACCCATCAGTCATTCTATGGAGCTACGGTAACGAGGTCAAGGAACAGTCTAGCGATGACGAGGGCGCGGCAGAGATTTCAGTTTACCTACGTGACATCTGTCACCAAGAGGATTCAACTAGACTTACCACATCGGCTATCCACTTTTCTTCTCCGAACTCGTCGCTGGCTCAGACTCTGGAGCTCATCAGCATCAACTACCAAGGCGAGGGCGTCAGGTACGGCCCAGCGTACGAGTACCTGACCGGGAATAAGAAGACGCCCCAATACGACGCTTTCCATAAGGCCTTTCCCGACAGGGTCATCACGAGCAGTGAATATGCGTCATCTCTCAGTCTCCGAGGGTCTTTCTCGTTCCCTGTCACGCCGTACAATAGTGCACCGGTCAACAGTACAGATGGAGATATTCCAAACGAGAAGGGCGTTAGTGCCTACGAGCTGTAAACAGCCCAAGCTGGATCGTCGCCAGATCGGGTCTTTCTAGCCCAGGATGAACACCCATACGTCTCCGGTGGCTTTGTCTGGACAGGATGGGATTACATCGGGGAGCCATACTACCACAAGGGCACCAGAAGCGGAGACTGGGGAATAATCGACCTGGCCGGTTTCAAAAAGGAGCGGTTCTGGCTGTACCAAGCTCGTTGGCGGCCCGACTTTCCCATGGCACACATAGTTCCTCACTGGACCTGGCCGAACCGAACTAGGGAGATTACGCCCGTTCATGTCTTCTCATCGGGTGATGAGGCCGAGCTCTTTGTCAACGGCGAGTCAAAAGGTCGAAGAACTCGCGAGAGTAACCCGGGTTTCTATCGGTTCAAGTGGGATGACGTGAAGTACGAGCCGGGAGAGGTGCACGTTGTCACGTACAAGGATGGCAAGGAATGGGCAAACGATACCGTCAGAACTACAGGCGACGCTGTTGGACTTCGACTGAAGGCTGGCCGTGAAAAGATTGCGGCGGACGGCGAGGACGTTTCCTTCATTACGGTCGAGGTCGTGGACGCTGACGGGAATGTGGCACCGTTGGCAAATAACATGATATCGATGTCCGTCGCATATGGGCCAGGCGAGATCGTTGCGACAGACAATGGACATCCGGGGGATTTTACAGCGTTTACGTCCAAAGAACGAAAGGCATTTCATGGTCTACTATTCGCGATTGTCAAGTCTACTGGTACAGGGGATTCTATCATCACAGCAAACAGTACCGGATTGAAGTCGGCGAGTCTTCCTTTGATAGCGGTTTAATACTGTGACGAGACAATACAAATTCTTGATGTTTCCGACGTGCACCAGGTTCTTCTGTAATCATACAAGCGTGTTTACAAGTGTATTGAACACGGTTTTATTGAGATTTGTGCAAGCAATCGGCGCAATATCCTACCGATACTACGAGCCAAGTTGTATGAACACCATTAGAACTGCTGCGTATCTGAACTGGTGTCAGCTAGGCAAGGGCTCGTTGGGGTCATGTAACTTACGCTGCCGTAGCTCCAAGAACTTCGAATGGCTTAGCAACCATGCCTAGGGATAAAACAAGAAGAAATATGAAAACAAATATCGTAATTACGGCAAGCTTTCCCTTGAGATCCTCTATAGCCTGGAGAACCCAGATGGGAGTCAGAAGCATGAACACTCCAATGGCGATGATCACCGCCGATACGAATGCATTCATACGTTCGTCAGAGTAGTAAGACACCTCACGAGCGTCATAGCTGGGGGCTTCGTTCTCTCGATGTCTCCAAATTGACAGTGTCCTGAGTCGCAGTGAACTATCAATGACCTGCCTTAAAGGAGTCTTTTCTGTGTATGCGACAGATATGAGATCTTCCTTTGCCAGATAGGCTTGCTCCTCGCGCGCGATTGCTGCGAAATCGTGATTGAAATGCCAATTCTGGAGGTTCTTTCGATGTCTCTTTGCAGCCTTCGGAAACCGTCTTAGTGCGGGCTGTTGAAGGATAAGCTCGTCTGATCATTGTCAGTGAGAGGTGAGAAATTTTGGGTCCTTCAGGTTACGCACTGTAGTGCCTCAACTTTTGAGATATCTCTTTAATCAAAGTAGAACGCCCTTCAATGTCCCCTCTCAATGTGCTATTGTTGAAGTCTGGGGCATTTGCCGCCATTGTGCCCTTATCTACGTCTTCAAGCTCCTCCTCAAGCTGCGTAATCTCATCTTGCATCGCGAGCGCAACCCTAACATTCAACTCATCAAACCGTCGGAGAAGGAAAAAGTCATCTTCGGAGGAGATGAAGTCGGAGTATCCTTTGTATCCTATGTATTTCCACGGCTTTTGGTGAACCTCGTCATCCGTCGGCTTCTCATAAGCGATCGTGCTCGGCCGGCTTGATGTTTGACTACAAGTGGTCGATTGCGCTGTTCCAGAACTTGTTGATAGTCGATCCAACATGGCGTTTGCAGATTTGTAACTTTTACTGCGGTTCCCAAATATAAATATGAGGTGTTGGTTGGAAATTCGCGCACCAGGCTTGTCGGCGTCTGCAGAGGGGCGGAGTGGTCAAATATCCCTGCACACTGCTGCACCTGGCTCGCTGGCAAGGCATCCTCATGGAGTTGGTATTGACATGTCACAGCCACTTGGGACTATCAGGTGACTATCGCATGGCATACTCAATTGGCTGGTAAGAATATCTACATGCAGAATTGCTGACATAGCCTACCGTGGATGTCACCCTACAACCTGGTCAGGCTCCCGCATCTGCTAATTGGTGGCGTGATGCGGTTCTCGCGTTCGAGTGGCAGGAGGTAGCCTGAGTTGATAAAAGCCCGTTCGTCTACCTGTAAGGTTTCAAGACCTTTGAAGCTGTGTCACCCACCCATACAAAGCCATCCTTGCCTTTTCGGAACTAATGACTCGAATACTGACTGCCACAAGGAGCTTGATCAATCTATTGCCTAGTCCATTGACTCGCTGCAAACATGGCGAAATCTGTTTCCAATCCGCAACCTACCTCTATGGACGAAAAGAACTTGAACGGAGGCAATCTTGACAATATATATCCTTCAAGAACCGGGCAAAGTCAACGAATTCGACAGTGCCAGTCAGGGTCGGCAGGCGTACCAGCTTTTGTGCCTCGAAGTATCCCTGAATTTGTACTGGACGCTCCAGTGCCGGGTTTGAGAGAGAACTTAGGGGACGTCAGGAGAAAAGGGGATTGCACACGAAAGGCAGAAGCACCGCCGACCGGACAGCCGCAAGCACAACAACATTTACAACGTTGACAACCACGGAGGCGGGCCAACCGTCTAGACCACACTGGTGATGAGAATAACAGCGATTCTGATGGAGAAAATAGCCCGCAGAAAACTCATGGCAAGGGTGATGAAAAGCAGTATGATCAGAATCCGTATCGGGTCATGAAGGAAAGGGCCTTCGCCCAGAATATAATGCAGGCTACTCAGACTCAAAGCCTACGTGGCGGCCAGATATCTCGGTAAAGTGGACAATGTTAAATGTACAATAGAGCCATCCAATTGACAAATACTATTGTCCTATGCATTCTCTTTCGGAGAAACAGAGCACGCGTATGATTCCGAGAGAAAGATATCGGAGGGACTGGAGCGCATACGATATATGTAATAGGATGATTAGCAATATTCAGAATAATGTTGCAGCGATTTGCTAGTTCAAGCCGGTGGAAGTGCTGCGGGTATCAAAGCAGGATAGGGTTGTTTCTCTGTACGATTGACTACCCAGTTGTCAGGCGCACTCACAAATGAAGCACAGCAGCACACCCGCCAGCCTTGGCGGTAATGACCGCGTGAGGCAGATGGCTGCCTCACTACCCGGCCCCACAGAACATGCAGCTGAGGGCACCGGGTGAGAATTGCATCATCGCAAAGTAATGAGAGCTGTGGAATCTTTCCCGCATGCGTTGTTCTGGGTTGTGACGTCACCGGCAGACTGGCCACGACAAGAAAGCGGAAGGAATGCTATCTCAGGTACGCTTTGTACACATTTTAAGCCCCATGAAGGATACATATCTCTAGTGGTAGATTAAGTCTCTTTTCCTCGGCCTGATGTTTGCCTCGGTACCTATTGCATTGTACTGATACGGCGCATTCATAACGAACCGAATCGAAGTCCAGAGTAAAGGGTTGCAACATGTGCTGAACAACCCCTTGATTCCTGCCTGAGGTGCATGTAAGCTACCCCAATCTGGAAGATATTACGCCAACTGGCACTGAGCGTATCACGGGACAATTGGAGGCCACATGCATGGTTATCGGGCGCAAAATGCATCAAGTAAATCTGCGATTCCTCGTTGTCTCCCCCAGGCTGTCATTTGAGCTTTCTTTCCAGTTCTCTCTTCTTTTTGCCGTCAGTTCATGTCGCCGTCTTCAATGCCTTCATGAGTGCTACAGTTTTCGCGCACCGCAATGATTCCTAATTCAAAGACGGAAACCTCGAAAGTTTTGTACAGGGCTCAGACATTTTCCTCATACAGTGGGGGGAAGAATGAGGACTTTCGTACCAACCAATTCAGTAACAAGGGCCGAGATGACTATCGAAACAAGCCAATCCGCAGCGGGGGTGTAAACAAAAAGGAAGATTGGACTGTGCGAGCACTGCCGATTCCACAATATCAGCCACAAGATGCTCCAGAGATCCTCAAACGAAGCGCGACTTGGAACTCATCGGGCAAGATTGGCAACTGCAACGCTGATAAGGAGAAAGCTAAGGAGATAAAACGCAACTGAGAGTGCGGAATACGAAGGGGTGAATCCGGCGGGGAGAGTCATGGCAGGATGTCGCCGGCACTGGCAAAAGTTCAATGGTAATAAGGCTGAAGGAATTGAGGCCGGTCTAAATAAGCGATTTGTCAGAGGATTTGAATACGGATAGTTGATTCAGCTGGACTTGTATCGAACATTCCTTAGGGCGGGCATGCGAAGAGAAAGATTGATTTCCAACAAGCGTGAGGAGAGGCCATCACCCGTTAGCGTGTCCCCGCTTTCAATGTATTCAATCCAAGAAGGTACCTCCCGTGCGAAGACATGACTGGAACCCTCTTAGTACTTCGCGGTTCTATGACACCAAGGTCACGCATACCTAGGATCGTGTCGGAGTGAAGCCTAAGTAAAGAGTCATCAAGCGATAAGTCTGAAATTATTCGCGTCCCTACACGCGTACCTATCCATACATGTATCCAGTCCTTCCTGACGCCGATTCCTATCATAAATCGTGACCATGGTCGTTCATATTACACCGTGCCTTTCCTCCTCTTGATCTCGATCTTTGCTTCAACGGGGGGAACAACCGTCACGCCGATCCATTGCGGTTTCGGCCTCTCAGACAGGGTCTTCAGCTCGTAGTTTAACAGCAGGTTGGCGACAACCATCTTTAGTTCATGCGCCACGAAGAAACGTCCAGGGCTGTAAGGGGTTAGTCTTCAGGTCTGGCGGTGAGAATGGCGAAATCTACTTACCAAGCATGCCTTCCATGGCCAAACGCCAAATGGGCATCACTGGTCGTAACCATGCCTAGGTTCTTCAACCTGAGCCCCTCTTCCAGGTTCCTTTCCTCTTGCGGCTTCGCCTCATATGCTTCCCTCTCTCGACTCGTCCTGAAGGCGTCGTATTCCAAAGCGTTCGACGTGAGCTCGTCATCGTGGTGCAGGCCCTCGAGGTTGACTGTGAGGAACGTGCCCTTGGGCAAATGCCAGCCCTCTTGCTCATTGGTAATGCCCTCCTTTGCCACGACCTTGCGCTCCATCAAGGTGCAGCTGAAGTTGCTTAACCTCTGACTCTCACGGATCGCACTGTCCAGTCGGTATAGTCTTGACAACCCGTTCTTCGTCCATTGCCCGCCCTCTTCTTTCAAAACCCTAGCTGCCTCCTCTCGGATGCCATCGATATAGCCCTTTGCTGGGTCGGATGCTAGCAGGTCAAGGACGATACTATGGCCAGTGATGACTGTCGTGTGGATTGCCGCAAACTGAATCGGCAACAAGCGCTTCGAGATAACGTAGGGGTCCAGTTCGAAGTAGTTCTTCTCGGCCTTGGCCATGCGGATGTCCCATGTTATGAAGTCCTCCGGTGCAGCCCAGCTGTCGTATTCCGGATCCCCCGCCTCCTTCTTCTGCATGTCGTGTAGTCGCTTCCTAATGACGGGCAGACTATGCTTCGCCGCCTTGCGCCAGAGCCACCAGTTGGGGAGGGCAATCAAGGGCCCGATGATAGGCAGCATGATCTGCGGGATCATGTGCATGGCAAAGCAGTTCAGGATAACCTGGTCTACGAACGAAACCATGGCCTTGCAGAACTCCTTGTTTCGGCAAATCGTGTCGCCGACCAGCATTCTGTTTGTTACAGGAGGAACGATGGTCAACCAGGCATCCCATAGACTAAGGGTCTTCCAGTTATCAGTGTCGGTACCGAATGCCTCGTCGACGGCAACAGCAACCTCCTCTTCGATGCCCGGGACAAGGGTGCTGAGGTGACGCGCCAGACTCTTGTGGATCACGCGCGTATGCCAGACGTCGTCCGCATAGACCTTGCCTAGGAAGTTGTAGTCGCTGTATAGCACGTCATTGTGCGCTTCGTGGGCGGAGACGATCGAGTCGGGGTGCTCGAGCAGCCATTTCGTGAGGGATCGGGGGAGGACGATGTCGGGCGCCCTGCTCGCAGCGGCGGGTACGACGAATGCGCGGTTCTGCTTGTTGTACTGTCCTTGCTGTCAGCATTTCCTTTATCGCATGGCCAGATGGCCTGTGACATACCTTCTGGTACCCCTCAATGACCCAGTCTCTGTATCGAAAGATGTAGTAGTAGAAGTTCTTGATCCGCGCGACAGTTCCCTTGCCGTGGCCAACAACTGGAATGTTCTCAGGGTACGTAGGCTTCCATGTGTGGTCGAGAATGAGCAGCGTGACGAAGACAAAGAAGAGGGATCCGAAGACGCGCCCGGGCGTCAGGGAGTCGGTGATGTAGGCGTGAAGGCTTCCCGCCATGGTGGGCAGTCGGTCGGTCTGCTTCCTCTCGGCAGCTTGTCGTCGTTGTTGTTGTTGTTGTCGCTTCTGTTCCTCAAGTCGTCCTGGACATGATCATCTGAAATCCAGAGAGGGAGCGAAGGGTTGGTGGAGGTTAAGTTGCATCGTCGGAGTTTAGCAAGCAGCCGCTACCGATCAGGAGTCGCCAATTGGTAATGTTTCTTTGCTTCAGGTCAATGACGCTCTGGCGCTGTCAAGGACTCAAGCTTGCATTCCCGTCCGCGCTAAAAGACGAGCTGCCCTCCCTGGAGGGGAACCCCGGTCCTGAATGCAGCTGGTGATTGGGAGTTGGCGGTTTAAGCGAAGCACGCTGTGACCTGTTTCAGGTACGTGCCGTGTCTGTCATCGTTCTCGGATCCGGAGCTCTTAACACTTCATCACCCGAGTCATATGTCAA